GGAGACCGCAGTGGTGCGGGAAGGCGATCCTGCAGGGCAGCAGCCGAGCGGGGAACCTGGGGCGGCGAGATTCCAGAAAGAAAGTGGTGGATGGGAAGCAGCTGGAGGATGGTGGGCTCCAGGCGGATTTGTTGCTACGGCGACAGCTCGGGGCCTGCCAGGCTTCCTCGCTGCCTCGGGACCGGCCGGCCCGGCTGCCGGTTGTTCTTGTAAACACAGACCTCAACACCGCGCAGCTCAGTTTACCGCCTCCAGCGGCCTCCTCTCGGTCACGGGATGAACGCGCTGGCGGGGACCTCAGGCCCAGCCCGCTCCCATTGCTTCCAAGTTTCATTCACATCAAGCCTGGCTCCTGCCTGGATGCCTGGCCCCACCTGATCAGCACCCACTCAACCTCCATTTCAGATCAAAGTCTTGGCTGCTGCGCCCTGGACTGGTTGTCCTTCAGCGGTCCCAGTCCCTGCAGCATTTTTTTGTATGCACAGTGAGCTCCGCGGAGAGCAGGTGCCTTTTCCTATCACCTTCCTGGTTGCTGTGCCCAGTGCGATTTCTGGCACAAACCTTAGCCTGAAGCAATGAGCAGTTGAAACAAAGGCAAGCGTTTTCTCGCTTCCAGGCCCATAAGTATTAACCAACACCTACCTTCTGGAAGGCTGCGTGGTCGGGACTAGCAGGAGTTTGCACTATGGTGAGGTGTGACAACGAGCAGAGTCTGTAAATGCTGTGGAGAAGCCCGATGTGTTTACAGGGTTCAGAAGCACATGTTATGGAGACAGGGGGTTCAGAGGATTCTTGAGGAATGTTTGTTTTTCTCTCGTGGCCTATTACATCAAAGTTGGGGGTGGACTGAGGGCGAGGTGTGTATTGCGTTCCTTGTGTTAATTGCTTTATATGTTATTTCACTTAATCTTTGGGACCCCTGTGAGGTAAAAATTATGTTCCCATTTTACAAATAAACTGGCCCAGTGAATTTAAATTTTTCCCAAGGGGCACAAAGAATTACAGGGAGAAATCAAACCAGGTCTTTGTCCCTAGTACCCAGCAGAAGGCCTGGTACATAGTGGACGCTCCCAAACTATTTATAGGATGAATGAATGAATGAATGAATACAACTCTGAAGTCCACTCTTTCTTGCTAGAGGAAATCTTGAAAGTTAACTGGTCCAAGCTCCTCATTTTACAAAGACACCAAGCTTTTGCCTCATAGCTACTTAGAGCAAAAGCTGAGACTAGAAACTTGGACACTGGTTCCCTGGTGTAATGCTCTTCCCAGTCTATCAGGCAGGCAGGACTTTAGTTTGCGTAGCTCTCCGAGAGTTTATACTTTGGTTAGAGGCAAAGCCAAATATTTTTAAAAATGGATACTAGGTAAGGTGATATACCGTTGTGCGCTAGACTGAGGGACAGATCACTTAAGCTTACTAAAGGATTCAGGGTTGGGAAAGATCCCTGTCGGCTGTAGTGTCTGGGAACGTTTTGGCTTGGACTTTGAAGGTTGTTAAGGAATTTGGGTGGGCAAAAAAGCAACCTCCTTTTCCTCTTCCTTCTCACTGCCCTAGTTTGAGCCTTCCTTATTCTCACCTAGTCTCTCCTTCTATTGTGTCCGTCGCGCATAGTGCTGCCAGCGCAATGTTCCGGATCTTCAATCTGACCATCATTCTTTTGCTTAGAAACTCCTGTGGCTACGCTTTGCCTGCCGAGTAAGATCAAACACCTTCCGGTGTGTGATTCATAGCGCTCCCCTCTCTACCTCTGGTAACCCTCCCTCCCTCTCTGGCTCCTCCATACGGCCCACTTTCCCCTAAAGCCTGAAGTTTCCCACCTCCCTCCCCTTTCCTTATCCTAGTCCATCTACCAGAAGTATCAACACTGGACTTCTATCGTCTACCTGTTGGAATACTGCATCTCCTCCAGTGTTGAGCTCAAATGCCATTTCTTGCATGCTTCTCTTACATAAAGGATTCAGACCCTGTGGGCAATGGCAATACTCTTTATTCCTTCCTCACAAAATTCACAGGTGAAAGTGTGTGGGACTGCGAATCAGGCAGAGGCTTAGCCCTATAATCTAGTCCATCTACCAGAAGTATCAACACTGGACTTCTATCGTCTACCTGTTGGAATACTGCATCTCCTCCAGTGTTGAGCTCAAATGCCATTTCTTGCATGCTTCTCTTACCTATTAAAGGATTCAGACCCTTGTGGGCAATAGCAATACTCTTTATTCCTTCCTCACAAAATTCACAGGTGAAAGTGTGTGGGGCTGCGAATCAGGCAGAGGCTTAGCTCTATAATAGACTGTCATCTTGGTGGTCCCCAATGAACTATACCACCAGAGTGAACGGACGTGTGAGAGTCCCTTCCACCATGACTCAGAACTTGGCCTTGTGACTGGCTTTTATCAACAGCCCATTGGCAGGCATGATGCAGAGGCTTGGTAAGTGCTGCCATATCACATCTGGTAGTCTTGGAACAGTCCCTCTCAGAATCTAGTCATCATGCTGCTGCGCACAAAGACACCCGATCACCCTGCCGCAGGGAGAAAGGTCGTGTAGAGAGAGGCCCTGGTAGTTTTGAGACCTGTCCAGAATGCTGAGTCATGAGCCTGGTGTGCTTACTAGAGAGCCCTATACCTTCTGTCTTAGCTCCTGAGTAGAAACACCATCTCGAATCTTTTTATTCAGGCTCCTTGAGTGGGCTCTCCACCTCAGCTTCATTCTCTTTCTTCCATCTCATTCTTGGATCGCTTCCACATGGCTCCTGCTCTTCTCCCACATCAATGAAAGCGCTATTACCAAGGTTCCAACAATCCTCTTCGACCCAGTGGAGAAAGGAAATGGGGTAATTCTATGCGTGAACTGATGGCCAGTGCAGCACAGCCTCTGCATAACTCTTCAGCATTAAATTATCAGAGGCCCTGCTGGGAGGAATAAAAACTGGCCCATGTAAGGTTTCTTAAGTTTTAATGCATCCGTATTCTAGGGACCAATTGACTCTGGTATCTTGGAGGGATAGGTGAGGGCCAGCTAAAGAATGACACAGGGCCTTGAACTAAGAAATGCATGTGAGTTTCTGCTGAGAGTTGAAAAGACAACAAATCACCCCATGTATCAGAGACTCAACATCAGGTGACATCCAAATCTCCGTGAGTGAGGGCGGGCAGTTCCCACAGAGCAGCTAGACTCATCCTGGCACGAGGAGGACACTCGGGGCCGGGCGGGGTTAGAAACTAGAGTAACTGTGAATGACCTTTTAAAGATAAGTTAGGTGTGGTATCCTGACTTTTATCTTTCTTTGTTAAAGGCAAACTGCTTTTCTAAACTTGCGAAGCCACCCACCATCTGCAAAGTGGTGGGGAAGCATGTGCTGGACGGACTGGGGCTTCCCACCCTCCAAGTGGAAATATTCTGCACCATTCAGAATTTTCCCAAGGTATGAGGCCGCTTACATGGGTTCTTCGCTACATTTATTGTCTACTTTGTGGGAAATGAATGTTCTGAAATACGGTGTTTGTGAAACACACCCACATACATTTTTCGGTAGGCATGTACATAAAGTATGAACCATACAATCAACCATGATGGCTTTATTATGTTTCAGTGTAATATGGTACAGACATGACATGCTAACTTGAAGACGATCCAAGGTGGAGAAAGGAAATGGAGCAAAAATCCTTTTAAAACCTGACATTATTACTGTGATGAGTTCCATAAATCTACAGATAGGTTTATAGATTGATATATTTATATCTAGATTTCTATATAGATTTAGAGAGATATAGAGTGAGCTACCTAAAGAAAAATGCATTTTCATAATTTTATTTTATTTATTTTTTAAATATATTTTATTGATTTTTTACAGAGAGGAAGGGAGAGGGATAGAGAGTTAGAAACATCCATGAGAG